CTCCCTCCCTCCCGGCCCGGGAGACTTGCGAGCGAGGGGCCCTCCGGGCCCCCTTCAAAGCATCCGCGGGGGTGGGGAGCGAGGCTCCGAGGGTTCGAAGCATCCGCGGGGGTCGGGAGCGAGGCTCCGAGGGCTCGAAGTCCGCAGGAGCGAGGAGCGAGGCTCCGAGGGGGTTCGAAGTCCGCGGGGGTGGGGAGCGAGGCTCAGAGAGGGTTCGAAGTCCGCGGGGGTGGGGAGCGAGGCTCAGAGGGTTCGAAGTCCGCGGGAGTGGGGAGCGAGGCTCAGAGGGTTCGGAAGCCGCAGGAGTGAGGAGCGAGGCTCCGAGGATTAGGCAACGGACCTGAGGCAGAGGACCTGAGGACACGCCCACTCCGTGCCCAGCGGCACGGTGGCGGATATAGGACCCTCACACCGCAGGACGTCGGGCCCAGGCGGCGGCGACGACGACGAGCCCAGAGATCCGAATGCGGGGTCCCCGGATATCTCGACCTCTTCCCGCTGGCTAGCTTTCTGTCCCGAGTTGTTTTTGTTGGCGGCCCCGGGGCCCCGCGAGCCAGAGGCCGAAACCGCAGGACATCCTCCGCTTGTTCCCCAAACCAGCACCCAGTGGTTTTGGGTCCTCGTTTCGAAGAGGTAGCGCCCCGTTTTTCATCTCCTCCCGCTCCCCCTTCCCCCTGCTCTGATCCTTGCCTCTGCCCTCCTCCGCTGTCCATTTCGGAAAAACCCTCACGCGTTTCGTGGCCCCAAGAGGTGCTCCGCAGAAAGCCCCAGCGGCAGGGCCCGCAGGAGCTCCCCAGAAGGCCCCAGCGGCAGGGCCCGCGAGCTTCACAAGGCCTATTTCGGCACACCCCTCCACGCGTTTCGTGGCCCAATGGGGAATTCCACTGGCAGCCCCAGTGGCAGGGCTCGCGTGCATCCCGAGGCGACTTTTGGCCCAGCCCTCATTTGGCCCCAGAGGGAGCTTCGCCGACGACTCCAGCGGCAGGACCCGCATGCTTCCTGTGGCACTTCGGCACACCTTTCACACGTTTCGTGGCTTCACGGGGAGTTACACCGAAGACTCCAGAGGCAGGGCCCGCATGGGTCACAAGGCAAATTTCGCCACACCTGTCCACACGTTTCGTGGCTCCGTGGGGAGCTCCACCGAAGGCCCCAGCCCATGTCGGCACGCCTCTTATACATGTCGTGGCCTCACACGGAGCTCCACCGAAGACCCCAGCGGCAGGGCCCGCATGCGCCCCCATGCCAATTTCGCTACACCCCTCCACACGTGTCGTGGCTCTATGGGTAGCTCCACCGAGGGCCCCATCGGCAGGGCCCGCATGCGTTACCAGACCGATCCCTGCACAACCCCGAAATTCCTCTCACACGTTTCGTGGCCCCACAGGTAGATCCACATGCCAATGTCGGCACAATCAACAGACGCTTCGGGGCCCCGAAGGGAGCTCCACCGAAGGCTCCAGCGGCAGTGTCCGCATGCGTTCCCAGACCCATTTCGGCACTCCCCTCACGCGCTTCGTGGCCCCCCATAAGGAGCTCCACCGAAAGCTCCAGCGACAGGGCCCGCATGCGTCCCCAGGCCCATTTCGGCACACACACACACACACCCACCCGTTTCGTGGCTCCATAGGGAGCTCCATCGAAGGCCCCAGCGGCAGGACCCGCATGCGTCCCCAGGCCAATTTCGGCACACCCGTAGTGTTTCATGGCAGTCAATGTTCCAGCGGCAGGGCTCGCATGCGTCCCCAGGCCAATTTCGGCACACTCCAGCACACGTTTCTTGGCCCCATTTGGAGCTCCTCCGAAGGTCCCAGCGGAAGGGCCCGCATGCGTCCCCAGGCCCATGTCGGAATGCCCCTCACACGTATTGTGGCCCCAGAGGGTGCTCCACCGAAAGTCCCAGTGGCAGGGCCCGCATGCCTCCCCAGGCATGTCGTGTCGTGGCCCCATGTGGAGTTCCCCCCTCCTTCATCCCGCCTGCCTTGCGGCACTCTCACCAGCACATGGTTGGGCCTCTCGCCATGATCATTTCCCATACCTTGGACCAGGCTTTCGATCATGGACCCCTTGTTCAACGCGACCGCCCAGCGTTCGCGCCGAAGACCGCTGGAAGCCCACGCAGACATCCAGAAACCGCGCGACGATTGTGGAAATCTGCCATTTCAGTTGTATAGCTTTTTCCGCATGTTTCATGTCGGTTTGATCGTTTTCAGCCAGTAGTCGCAGACTGCTCCGAGAGACGGGTGGTGCATTGCTGATTGTTGGTTCGCGTCCTCTCCTCTGCCCTCCCTCCCCCTCTCCAAAATAGTTGCGCAAAAAAAAAACGTCCAGAAGCCGCCAAAGTCCATCGAACACCGCAGAAGACCGTCAGCAGACCGCCATCAGACCGCCGCAGACCGCCAGACGCCCGCCACCAGGCTGACCGCCCGCCCGCAGACCGCCGCAGACCGTTAGCAGCCTTGGGCCCTCTGCTTGACCTCTGGGTCGCCAGCCTCCGAGGTGGAGGCCGCCGCCGCCGCCGCCGCCGCCGCCGCCGCCGTCGTCGTCGCCGTCGTCGTCGTCGTCGTCGTCGTCGTCGTCGTCGTCGTCGTCGTCGTCGTCGCCCTCCGAGGTGGAGGGCTTTCGGCCGCCGCCGCGCACCCCGTGGGACGACGGGCCGGCGCCCGCGCCAGCGCCCGCCGCACGGCCGCCTGCGCCCGGGGCGGCGCGCTGGAGCCCGGGCGAGCCAAAGGGGCCAGCACTCAGAGGAGGACGAGGAACCCATACTTCTGGCAGGCCCTCGTCGCCGCCGCTCGGCTCGCTTCGAGATCCTGGCCAGGACGCACACCTGGGCCACGGACAGGGCTCATTTCGACTCCTCCGATTCGAGTCGATTTCGATGGTTTCCGATTCCGCTACGGTTCGACTTGAGTTTTTGGTGTGAGTTCCGATTTCTCACTGGAGGCCTCATGGCCTGCCGAAGGCCCCAGATTCGACTATTCTCCCGATTTGAATGCCGATTGCCGCCGATGCGATTCGTTTTGACTGCCTACCCGGCTTGTCGATTCGATTCTGAGCTCTCCTGACGGACACTGACCTTTCTGGTTGGCGAATGCTCCGAAGCGGGACTTTATCCATGACCACCGACGGGGGGAATCGAGCTTCAGGACCTCGGCAGGCGGTGCTTATGGATACATCTGGGCCCTAGGGGGATAGAGATACCCAGCGCCTGCCGAGGGCCACGAAGGTCGATCCCCCGGGCGGTGGTGATTGACGCATCTCCGCCTCGCATGTGCGGTTTCTTCTGTGTGTCTATTGCGAAGGCCTTACGGCCGGCGCCGCCGAGCCTGAATGGCGACGAAGACGACGACGAGCGCTCTCGGGGGCCTCCTGGGTGTAGTTTTGGGGCCTCTTGGGAAGTTCGTGGGGGCCGCTGGGAAGCCTCGCAGGCCCGACGGGCGACCCGGGGCTCGGGGGGGGGCAGTTTGGCAGTTGGCCTTAGCTCGGGCTCCCTCTACAGCAGGAGGAATATTCACAGATAGTACGAAAGTAGTTTGGGGATATTTTGTCCAGTGAAAGGTGACAATAACTTATATACACATATGTATATCAATATCTATGTATGTTTTTTCTCCATGTCTTGTTTAAACAGTCGTCCAACATAAGCCTGTAGGGGGACGTGCCCGACCGAACGGTAGCCAAGGATCACGTGGCGAGTGCAGTGGAATAGTTTTTCAGCTTACGCCCCGCAGGCGCTGCCGCGTGCCGAGCAGAGGGACGAGGGAGGAAGGGGGAGGAGCGAGGAGGGAGGTGGGGCATGCGGCAGGTGACAGGAGGGAGGAGGGAGGAGGGGGACCGCCCCCTAGTCGCGACCCCCCCCGTCGCGACCCCTCCCCCGTCGCCACCCTCCCCGTCGCGACCCTCCCCGTCGCAATCCTCCCCGTCGCAATCCTCCCCGTCGCGACCCCTCCCGTCGCGACCCTGCGACCCCCCCCGTCGCAAACCACCCCCGTCGCACCCCCCGCCGTCGCGAGCCCCCCGTCGCGCCCCCCCCCCGGTCGCGAGCCCCCCCGTCGCGACCTCCCCCGCCGCGACCCCAGGCGGAGCGAGGGAGGAGGGACGGGGAGGGAGGAACGAGGAGGGAGGGGGATGGGTCAGGAGGGGAACAAAAACACACAGACTCAATTAATGTCGATTCCCCAGAAAATATGGGAAAATATGGGAAACTATGGGAAGTGGGGGGGAAGACAACAACCAAGAAAATATTGGAAAATATGGGGAATCCTGTTATTTGTGTCTATTTATTTGTGTGTCCCAGTTCCCCCTTCAATGGGTGGTGAGCGGGGAGGAGATCGAGGAGCGAGGTGCTCGAACGATCTGGGCGTCTCCGGGCTCCTCCTCGGGCGCTCCCCGGGGGCAGCGACGGAGCGGTCTGGCTCGGGGACGGTCCGGCTCCGGTGAGCGCCCCGCCAGAGAAGAAGAGGATTCACAATAATGGAACGAATGAGGATAACCGTACAGTGCCGTTTTTAATACATGTTCCGCGTGCGGAACATGTATAACAAATGCAGGGATTCAGCATTACAAACAACGACGAGTTCATGTATACATGTATTCATACATTAAACATGTATTGCACATCACTATATATACGTATATATATATACATATATATATATATATATATATATATATATATATATATATCATATGTATGGAAAAAACTGCCCTGTAAGCACATTACTAACAATAATAAACACACGTATGACAATAGTAATGCGACTAATAACGAATAATACGGCTACCAGCAGTAGTAATAAAAAAGAGAAATTTGCTAAACATTATAAAGCACACGATACTAATACTAATAAGGACACGGCTCACACAGACAGCCATCAGCTTTCAGAGGTCTGCGCGGAGTGATTTGATCGGCGCTGAACCCTGGCGGCGGCGGGAGGAGGGTCCAGCGCCGTAGCACGGAATCCGCGCGGACCTCCGAAAGTTTATGCTCGGGCAGTTGTTCTTCCGCTGTGGTGGAGGATCGATGTTTTCGGAGCGCTCTGGGTGTTTCTGGCTCCTCCTCGGGCTTTCTGGAGGCCAGAGAGCAGAGAGCCTGGGGCCCACACATCTTCAGGGAACCTTTGGGAAGTGGCTGGGGCCAGCCTTTTCACTCTCTCAGTCCTGGCTGATTTCCCTGTAGCTTGCCCAGCCCTTGCGACCTCATCCCAACTGT